AAAACTTTGCAACAGCATTACTCTCCATGTTTTCATCCACATACGCTTTTGTTCTCAGTGATGAATTTTGTTAAGTCTCGTAATAGGAGTAGCCTGACGGATGAAAGTAGTAGCTCGTGCATATCTCTGAAGGTCATGAAATATAAACCTGATGTAAAATCTCTGTCATCAGTGATGCAGCAGCAGAAGTCCCACTGATAATATCAAACGGAGTCATAAAGTTTTCTGTCGGACTATCAGTGTACATGTATACATTAAAAAATAAATGTATTTTTCATCATCATATACTGTGTTTTTGTCGCTCGAATGAATTTTATTATTTCTTCAAGGTTCATCACATACGTACACCTTAAGAGATATCAAGTAGGCGTAACATGTTCTCAAAAAATTAGGGTTGGCATGCAGAAGAATTCTGAGTCAGAGATTTTGCTGGTTTTGGCACGCACTCACAAAAAGGTTGCCCACCCCTGTACTAGAACCTACAACAGGCAACGAGTCCTCAATTTCTGACTCATTTTCCCTAAACACTGAATGATTTAATTTCTAATACTGACTTTACTACAAATAGATCAAACAACGTGTAAGCCTTTCAACCGCTTGGCTCAAAGAACCAATTCACCCAAAGAACACACCAGTCACTGTTGTGGGCTTCAAAAGAAGAAAATGGCATCTTCTTTACTGCAGGTCACTGCAACATGGCTCAGGAGGGCCAAGTCCAAGAGGGCCTTTCAAGTGGACAATCTGGTCAAGGTGAGGCTAGAAGTAGCTGACCATTGGAAATGAATGGCCCCAACGAAAGGCAAAAGGCAGTTGCATCCCTCGGTTACATGGCAGTCTGAAGATGCAGACATGGTGGGACTGGGCCCACAATGGTCATTTATCTAATATGATGCACTGAGTGAACTTTTAGCACCAACCCACATCTCAGCTGAGTGTTATTAGTCACTAGGCAGACTAGACATGAGTGAGTAGAAATATTGTAACATAAAACCCACCTCCTTACAAAAACTTTAAACTTAGATCTTGATGGTCATCTTTATAGACCAACGGGGGCATATTATTATCATTTGCCCACCCTTCAACCCTAAATTCATGCACAGGAGCAAAGGAGGATTCATATACTGAAACACATTTGGGGTCCTCGTTACGCAATTTTAAATGGTAGCATATCCGAGTCCTGTAAGGAAAAAGGTATGCACTCAATTATGAACACAGAGGTTGAGATTTACCTGCCAGAAAAGACCCATATGACCACAGCCACCTCCTTTCCCATTCTCAGCTGGGTGACTTTTTAATTTAAATTACAATAGCCCATCAGTAGCTACAAAACAATAAGTGTAAGACTCTAGGAAAGGCCATAGAATGGATCAAAAGGAGCATTCACCTTGTTCTTATCTGCCTACCTACTGTGAGCCCAGCCTCCTCCTCTCCCACCTGGGCTCTTTCCCTTCTCCTCTTCGCTCACTGGGCTCTGGGTAATTGCTGCCCCTTCCCTTCGTTGCCCTACCTTCACACCCTTCTCCACCTCACCTTTCCTTCCCATTTCCCAGAACTTGCCATAGTCACTCCTGCTAGTTCCTGCACTAGCCACCTAATCCCAGAGTCCAGAATGCTCCTGCCCTCTTTGCAGCGCTGACTACTTTTTAGTTAAAGCTCAACTCAGTGTCACCTCCTCAGAAAGGTGTTCCTTGACGGCCTGCCAATCACTGTCTGTCCCATCACTCTCGTTTTCTTTTTTCTTTTTTTAAAAATATATTTCTTTATTGATTTCAGAGAAGAAGGGAGAGGGGGGAGAGAGAAACATCAATGATGAGAGAGAATCATTGATCGGCTGCCTCCTGCATGCCCCCTACTGGGGATTGAGCCCGCAACCCAGGCATGTGCCCTGACGGGAATCGAACCTGGTACCCTTCAGTACGCAGGCTGACGCTCTATCCACTGAGCCAAGCCGGCTAGGGCCCATCACTCTCGTTTTCTTTGGCACGCATCAAAACCTGATTTATATGTTTGTTTAGTATGTGTTCCCACCTGGACCTGATGTAAGCTTCCTAAGAGTGGACATTATGCTTGTGTTCATCTTTGAATGCCCAGGGCCCAAAACACCAGCTAAGCACTTAGCCATTCACAAATGCTTCTTGAATGAATGAATTTTGGAACAATTAAGGTGAGAGCAGCAGCCATTCTTTTGTTGCATTTCTGTGAAACACCTAAACATGATGTTACTTGTAAAATCAAAGCATTATATTGTTTTATCAGACCCGGATGAGTAGGTTAACAGTTCTCCCAGCAATATGCACACACAGGGCCAGGATTTATGCTCTCTTTAACGTAAGGATCCCCAAAATTAGATACTATCTCTCAAAGTTCTTCAGAAAACAGTTCCAGATCCAACAGAGGATTTCCAAAGAAAATATCAACAACAAAATAGGATTCATCACATGTCACTGTGAAATCCCCGTGACAGGCTGAAGGAGCACATTTCTTGGTTGTTGTTGTTGTTGTTTTTTTTTTTTTTAACTAACTGGACAATAAAGAGACCTTTTTCCCAATCATTCTTTGCTTTCTTCAAATAATTTTTTCACATCTGTTATCGGTTTGTGTTCTTCCTTAAAGCAAAACTAAACAGGTCACATTTTCTCATTTAAAAACACCTATACAAAAAAGAATCAGCTAAGTAAGATGGAAATCAGCACAAGCCGAATGTGTCACTGAAAACTTGTGGGCCAGACACACAAATAGAGGGGGGCGGGGGCGCTACTGTCCAAGCGTAGAAAAAGTAAAATTGGGTTTTCTGTTCTCTGAGATGCATCACGAAGTGTGGGCGGAGAGAAACACAGAAATCCAGAATTAGCCGAACATCAAATCATTTTGGGAAGAGTTGACACTATGCACATTCCTCACCCGGAAAGTATTCGGAGCAGGAGACCTGATTCCTGGGCTATGATGCCATTCAGGAATCCTCGCAAGGGCTCTGGGTTCCAGCATTCACCGGGGAAGGTTCATCTGACTCGGGGCTCCCGGACTCCGATTATTTACAAAGCTTGCATTTAATCGAAGATCTGGATGGAGGCTGAACGCCAAATTCAAAAGAGGGGGCCAAGGTGCCGAATTCCATAAAGAAACACACACCCGATCACCACCTCACCCCAGAGAATTACAGTGGAGACCAGGGTGCGCGGGGGACGGGAGGATAGGGGTGCGGGGCGGTGGGAAAAGCACCACCTGTGTCACCCCGTCCGGCTTCCCACTCAGGACAGGCAACGCCTCCAGCCCCCCTGCCTCGGGCACCGACGGCGATCGCCACGGCCCAGGTGCAGAGGAAGGGAAGGCCTTCGGGTCGGAGCCCCTTAATCCCGGGCTGTTAATGATTACAGAGCGGGATGGGGGTGGGGAGGCCGCGAGGGCGGGAGGAGGGAGTGTTTCCCGAGCCCAGGCTGACCCGCGCCGGCTCCCCTCGCCTCTCCTTCCAGAGGAACCAGTCCAGACAAGGCGCGGACTTCCACTCCTCCCGTCCACCCCCTCCCGAAGGTACCCAACCCCCGCCCCTTCAGCGCTCCCCCTCTTCGTCGATTCGGCCCCCCCAAAACTCACAGTTGCTCCAGAGGTTCCTCCAGTGAAACCCTTTCTGGCAAGGACGGCGGCCCGGCGGGTCCAAAGCACCTACCATCC